TCTGTCCAAAATAATATTTCCGAAGAAATCCGCTTAAAATAATATTTCCGGAGAATTCTGCACAAATGTTTCAAAATATTGACGAAATTTATGCTCGTTCAAAGTCCAGCACTCTTATTACAAAATATTCAACATATTATTCAACGCACTTATAATAAGATGAAAATTATAAAAAAAAACAAATTCGAGATAAAAATCACTTTAAAGTATTCAACGTGAATTCAATCGTTGAAATGGAAAAAAAATTAAACATAATAAATGTCGCTAGCTAAATGCGTCCGCACTCGATTACTTTCGAATATAGAATGTTGAGCATTATTGAATGCTTAATGAAACCTCACACAGTAAACTGTTGTGGATCTCCACATCGATGACACGAACCAGCTTTGCATCGGTGAATACCATTTGACGGCTTTCTTTGTAGACAATTCACGCATAAATTTCGATTTTTCACGTGCTCACGCCGCTCTGGTACGTTCATGTCCAAAAATTCTTGGCATTTGGATATTGGATGCCCTTTTTTATCACATCCGTTACAAATGATCGAAGGATTTGATTTGCGACCGCCGTTCAACTGCTCACGCAAATCACCATAGCTGCGCCATTCACCACGTTCACGTACATTGTTGAGTTTTTGTGACAACCGCTCACGAACGTCACGACTTGAAAATTGAGGTTGTGTTGGCCGAACATGTGCTTTCACCGAAAAGTGAGGTTGTGTTCGCCCATATGACTGCCCATGTGCTTTTCCCGAAAATAGAGGTTGTGTCGAATGTCCATGCGTTTTTCGAGGAGAGTGAGGTTGTGTTTCACTTTCGCGTTTTTGATGCGAAAAGTGAGGTTGTGTATCGGTACAATTAATTTTCGATTTCAATCGCCAATTTGACCGCTTTTTCCGCTCGTTCTCACTCTCTCTTTCGCTATCATCCGTCGTCGAGTCACCCTTTCTCTTTCTTTCTTCCAATCTTTTTGTCAGCTCTTTTGCTTCCATTTCCGCGAATTGCATTCGAATTTTTACTATAAGGTCTTGATATAACCTTTCGACTGTGGAGAACAATTCATCTTGTTCCTGGAACCGCTCTCGTGGTAGCCACTGCAAGAACCGCAAATGTTCCTCGGAAAAATCGGCGAACGCCTTTTCCAAGAATTCCCTTTTTTGTGCGAGTGTCAACGACCCTGCCGAGCCAAATTCATTCGAATGCACAAATGCTTTGATACGGTTGATTGAATTGGCGTGTGTTCGACGTCGGTTTTCTTCCGGACTGTCGCCCATTTTTCCGCTCAAAATAATGCGTGACGGTGTAAATAATTCCAAAAAATGTCCGAAATATGCCCTTTTATTCTCTTTTCTCGATAAATGTTTCGCCAAACTGCGCTAAACTGCTCAAAAAGACAATAGAAAATATTCGTCCGCTCCTTTGTACACCAAATTGTATTTGTCAAAATGGCTACGAACTGCCGAATGATATAAAAAAAAACTATTTTTCTGCACCGTCGAAAAGAGAAAAAAAACGTTTCCCTTAATTTGCTCGTTTTTGGAAAAAATATATTTATTTCTGCTCTTTTCCGCTAAATCCGCTCAAAAATCTGCTCAAAACAATTGATTTTTAATTGCTTCCGCTCAAATAATTTTTATTTCTGCTCATAAATTAATTTTATTCGATTCCGCACAATACCGCTCGATTCGAAGGACCATTTGGTTTATAATGAAGACGACTGACTTGTTCGATTGTTGCTTTAAGACTAAACCTTTATTCAGAACATTTCGATTACATACATAAAATGTCACAAATGCTGTCAGTCAGTGTGGCCAGCGCCACTTTGAACCGGTTCGTGCTGAATGCACAACAAATTGCATGGCCGGTCTACATTACTACTCTTAACAGGTTGTGTTTTTCCCTCCATTCTTTCCGATCTTTGTCCAATGCTCGCTTCAATAGCATCAGTTGTAGTTGATAGCGATCTCCTGTGACTGTTTCACCCGGTTCCAGCAGCTCATAATACACGATCCCCTTTTGATCCCACCAAACACAGAGCATTACCTTGAAACCATGAATATGTTCCTTTGCTTGCGATGGTCCTGGTACGCCGCGTCGAACGTATGATTTTTTCGCTTTGGGTTATCGTAGTGGATCCACTTTTCATCGCCCGTAACAATTCGATCCAAAAATGACTTGCTTTTTTGTCTTGCGAGCAGCATTTCACAGATGGTAAAACGCCTTTCAACATCGTGCGGCAACCAGTTTCCAAATTTTTGGATGAACCCTAATGCTTTTAAACGTTGTGAAATGGTTGCTTGAGTAACCCCAATGATTTAGCGAGTTCTTCTTGCGTTTGGCAGGGATCTTCATCGAGTAACAATTCCAATTCTTCATCTTCAAATTTTCTCGGCTGGCCTGGACGCTCTTTGTCTTCCGTATCAAAATCACCACTTCTGAATCTTCTAAACCATTTTTCACATACACTTACTGAAATTGAATATTTGGGATACGTTTCCGACAACAAACGATGACATTCAGCAGCATTTTTCTTTTGATTAAAGTACTAAAGCATTGCTTCCCGCAAATGCTGTTTTGTTGGAACGTAATTCGACATTTTAATCGCAATAAAAAAACTTGTGTGTGCAGAATTGTTTTCACTTTGACAGATCGAATTTAGTAGATTTTTTGACGCTCTTTAAGATACAACAGCTTTCACTGTCCAAACAATTGCATGTGTGATAGATACGAATCCTTACGTTTTAATTTATACTTCCAATTTTTGCTTTTCTTCATTGTTCTACAAAAAAATCAGTTTGCTAGTTTGCCTCAACCGGTCGAAGATGGCGTTTTTCACGATCCGTTTCAATGGATAGGCAGAATTCATCGTACTTACAAAAAGAAACATTCAAAATGTAAAAAATCCGAATGTACGTTCCATCGACCGGTTCCAGAAGCAAATCCAAATCCACAACCAAGACGAAAAAATAAATAAATACGAGAAGCTGAAACCCAAGGAACGGAAAACATCAGTTATATTCAATCACGACATAAATGCAGTGAGAAATATGATTAAGAAAGCATTGTACATGTTGAATCATCAGCTGATGCCAAATTGTTTTTGACCATTCAGGCATCAACTCCATTATTATTACAACAATTAAAATCAACAATCAGAAATATAAGCACGGACGTCCACGCGAACATTCTGATATTGGGAATCTCATTGTTTCAAACAATGATACCAAGACGTAGTAGTGGACGATGCTAACAAGGACTAGAAATAGTAAGCATATTTTTTTTCTCTTTTCACAGTGATCAACGATCTCAACACTACTACAAAAAATTTTTTTACAATGGAATCTTAAATTTAAGCAATATTGCTGTTGTGTTCAATGATTCTGCTCTTAAACTATAAGTATTTACTTTACTTAACTATAAAGTATATACTTTTTTTCCATTCCGATCCATTATGCATTCCAATTTCATTTTCCATTCCGATCCATTACGCATTGATTAATTTCCATTTTTTCCATTCTTTTCTTCTGATCAACTCTAGGTAGAATATTCATATTTTATTTAAATAAGTATGACGAAAAAATTCCAGGTACTTATCATTGGAGGAAAACAGTTGAAATATTTTTTATTTAAAAAAAATTGACTCACTTGTTGTTGTTTTAAATCAATCTGGTGCAAAAAATAAATGAGAAACTTGACCTAACCTCAATTGTTCAATTGTATTCGTTTGTATTGGTGTTTAAAATACCAACGTTAACTGTCAAAATTTAAGATATGTCAATAAATGTCAAATCACGAAATATTAATAAGAAATTGGTGATATTTCAATCGTGACTTCGAAATTTTATTTGAACTGTACAAAACTGGAATTTAATAATTTACGAACGCTGAAGATATTTCAACTTGGAATAATGAAAGCGACACAAATGAATCGGCGTCAGGATCGATTCAATATGCTTTCCGATTATTATTCTGACAACGAACATCCAAATGGTTTAGATTTTAAGGAAGTAAATAAAATAGTCAAATATCGTGAAGCAATTAATAAATTACAACGAAAATGTGAGTCGTTATCACAGAATAATGAACGATTGGTTCGGAGGTAACTGTTGTGTCAATTATGCATTTTAATTGTGACCGTTCGTAAATTTTTACTTCTTGGATTTTACAGGTTACACTATGTGAAGCGAATAACAATGCGTAAGAAATGTGACGTTGATTTGTTGAAAGCTCGTTTGGATGTTTATAGTGACGAATGGCGAACGGCTCAACCTGATCCAATAACTAAAGTCAAAATGCCCACAAATCTAACACCAACAGGCAAAGTGCGAAAACCACGCTTGAAAAAGAGCAATGCTTCTAACACAATCATTCATGCCGATGCAGATATAAAACCAAATCTTATTGATGGAAAATTATCCAAGAGAAAACGATCAAAATCGGTTAGTATATTATTTGTATATTAAAATTGACTTAAAAAACAAAATATCCAATTGCAGGAAAAGGATCCAAATGCACCAAAGCGACCAGCCAATCCGTTCTTTCAATTTTGTCAGGAGCAACGTTCCTTACTAATGGATGAATTGAATAGCGAATTATTGCCCGGTCAACCAGAGTTATCAAAACAGGAGTTGACACGACAATTGGCACAGAGATGGCGTTCAATGGATTCAGCTACCAAACAAATATACGTAAATAAATACGAGAGTTCAAAACAAAAATATAACATTGAAATGCAGTCATACAAAAAAGATGTTCTGCTTCCGAGTTCGTCGATAAATTTGAATATATATAGCAAGTAGCTTTGAAAATAGTGCAATTTTACAAAACAATATTTGCTAAATTTGATCAAATTCTATTATATTTGAATCAATTTTATGGTTAAGCTGTTTTTTTCCTCTCTGCATTCAATGAATATTGCATGTGTAAATTTGTCTTTGAACATTTTGTACTGAAAACCCATTTTTCCTCGCTAACCATTTCTCCTTTCATTTAGTTGTAGTTTAAGTAAGTTTTTGAATAATATTAGAATATTTGCACATGAATCAGCATTTTATTTTAATTTTATGTATGCGTTTATAAAAACATAACTTCATAGTCGGTAAGTCCATTACGCAAATTGATATTTCATCACATTTGTTAGTATAAAAGATAAAGGTTGCAGAAATGATACCCAACAAACAAGTTAGTAACGTTTTTTTTATTCATTTTAACGTTGAATAATGTAACGCTTTTTCCCAAATTGGAGGTGAAATTGACATCGTTGAATTAGAATGAAATTCAGGTGATATTTATCTGTGCGCCAAACCCTAATTAAATTTTTTTTTTTTTAATAATATTAGAATATTTGCATATGAATCAACATCAATATTAATGTAAAAATCATATAAAATTTTCTTTTAATCTTGTGTATGTGTATCTGTAAACATAACCTCATGTTCGGTAAGTCCATTACGCAAATTGCCATACTACTAGAAAAAGGTTCCCAATACATCGAAATATTGTTCATATATATAAGAGAGACTCTGTCATAATAAAATCAACTCTGGATAACTTGAAAATATTTTGGTATTGGTTATTATTAGTTGACAGTTTGAATAGTGAGCTGACGACACTAAATATTGGCATCGAATGCATCAGAGTTAGCTGAGATTTCAACGAAATCAGGCCCTATAAATCGAAAAATTGACATTTCTGTCCCAAAGAGTGTGTCACAAATTCAAATGATGACATTTTTGGGAATCACAAATTGGTCACTAAATCTGTGTCGAAGAATTTTTATGATTACGGTTGTTTTTATGGAAAGCCTTTTCGAAATTTCGATAATAATTCTTTTTTGGGCAATTTCCACTTTTTTGTTCAAAAGATGTCCACCAGATGTCGTTCCGAAAATTTTCAAAACATTTTTGGAAATCACAAATTAATCAATAAAATACCGCATCATTAGTTTTTTGAAATTTTGTTTTATTTCGAATTTTTCAAAATTTCATTTATAGACTTTTTGATGAATAGGCTTTTTCAAATTTCGGCCTGTTACTTTTTTTCTGGAGCGTCACAAATTCTAAAAATTGCGTCACAAATTTTCACTTATTAATCACTGAAATTATGTGAAGTTTGAGCACAATCGGGTACTTTGGCCCCCTAGGTAGTGTGCGCCTGTTTGGCGTATTGTTTGTTATGAATTTCACAATCGAATGCAAATCATATTATTTTTCGATAAATTTCTACAGCATTTTGATACCGGTTTGTTCTGGCGATTTTTTTGCGGTGATTGTAACAAATTTGTTGAGTACAAAATAAAAATGGATTTTTTCCTAATTTTCATTTGAACAATGGCAAAAAGGCGAGGGCCTAAAATTTTTAGCGATGTTCCAAGAAAGAAAGCAAAACAAGGAGAAAAGAAAAAGAATGAAGAACATTTCGAAATACGAACAAAAAAAATTATCAGCCAATTCAATAATAATAATAACTGCACCGAACAGCGTTCCTTCGCCTTGGTGGTTTATTGAAAATATTTCAATTAAATAAATATAATCACGGGGGACGCAATACCAACATACATATACACATATTTATATGTGATATGTATATTTTTGCGTCACTCTATATATACTGTAAAGAAATGAAAATCGATACCGCTGACTTTTGGAAAAGGGTTTTTGCATATTTTAGTAGTGCTCGGCACCAAATTAAGAATCCGCAAAAAAAATTAAAAAATTTCAAAATTTGACCGCTAGGTGGCGTTTCAAAAAAAAGGTAAATTTTTGGTTTTGTCCATTTTTGACCACCCAAACCAGAAACAAATTTCCGAAAAATGGCATATTCGGAAACTGGAGTTCGGGTAGATAGTGTTGAAAAAAAAAATTGTTGGAATCGATCGAAAAGTGTCCGAGATATGTATGTCGAAAAATCTTACGAAAAACACAACATTTTTGAAATGATATGTTTGTGTGGCGGCAAATTTTTTTCCGTACTTTTTGATAAATCGCCGGGGACCGATTTTATTCGAAAGCAGATGGAAAACTGAGCATAAATGTCTCTGCGAATTTTTGGATTTCGTCGCGCAAGCCTGGGGTCTAGGTTCGAAAAAAAGTGAAATGCACTTTTTCAGTTTTTCATCAAATGGCCTACTTTCTGTGCATATGAAAGGTGAGGTAATGATCTATATGTCGTTAAAAAGCTACGAACCTCAGCTATCCAGATCTGACGTCAGATTGGAAAAAATTTCGAAAATGATCGCTATATGGCGCTGCATGTGTTGTTTTTTTGGAAAAATGACCATGACTTTTTTAACACCGACCAAAATTTAAAAAATTACATACGTAGTTTTCTGGTGGAAAACTGAGGTTTGTTGAAGACCAAATTTGTGATGTTTTGGTGTGTGTGTCATATCTGGGAAAATTCGTAACGAACCATTTTTTTTTTGTCCAAAGTAAAAAAAAAAATTTCGAAAATTTTCGATTTTTGGAGAATTTCAAGATTATGGTATACCGGATATTTTTCAACAAAAATACGTTATTTTTGGCTCTTCGGCAAGATATTGAGCTTCTCTTGAGCATACAGTGAAGAAATTTTCAAAAAACTTCAGTGGATATGGTTCAATCCATTTATCACCATACTATTAAAAAATGGGGAAAAATCGATGAAAATCGTAATTTTGTTTAAAAAATGTGTGAATAATGATTTTTTTTTATCATAGATCGAAAGAGCACCAAACTTTTGAAACAATGTGCACATTTTTTAGAACCAACATTTTTCAAAATTGGAAAAAGCGTGTATTTGGCCGACCACCTTTTTAAGATTTTTTTAATAACCAACTACAACATACTTGGAATTTATATTTTTTTTAAAAATGAAACAACTGATATCACTACTCGGACCCAAGGAATCCAATGGGGGCAATCTTTTTGAGAAATTGTTTTGATTTTTAGAGATAATCGGCCTGGAAACTACACCTTGAAATGATATTTTGAGGGCTTTATTCAATTGAAGAAAATGAAAAAAACATTGGTACAATTAGTTTTGAATAGATTTGGTAACCATACATACTACAAATTCACTGTGGAAATTTCTCTATTTGTTTCAAAATTTTACAAAAACAATTAAAAATGCAAATAAAAACAAATGATAAAAGTATGGCAGAAAGCAAAAAAAAATTGGCGTGCATTTCAAGAAATCGATTAATATAAATATTTTTAATTTCCAATGTGAAGAATATTAATATATGAATACAATAAAAGAATATATATATAAAATTCAGGCGAGCGTAGCGAGGCAAAAATTTTTGTAGATTTCAAACAGAAAAATTAAATTAAATGTTAAAACAAATGATATAAGTAAAAAACACGTCTTTGGAAGTTCTCACTGTGACGCAATACTGCACATCAAATCTAAAAATGATCTGATATAAATTTTCAGTGACGCTTGCAATCAAATACACAAACAATTTTTATATTGCGTTGCCTCTCTCATTCTTAGAAAATTAAAAATGAAAATTTCATTGTGATAATGCCCAAGAGGCAATACGCAATATAAAAATTGTTTGTGTATTTGATTGCAAGCGTCACTGAAAATTTATATCAGATCATTTTTAGATTTGATGTGCAGTATTGCGTAACAGTGAGAACTTCCAAAGAAGTATTTTTTACTTATATAATATAATTTCATTTTTATCAAGCATTTTATCTGGCGTCACTCTTATTGCTATATAAAGTCAACGAAGCGTTGATATCGATGATTTGAAATCAGAGGTGCGCACTGGGGGGGGATTCAGGGTTTTACCCCCCACCTAGCTTGGTCACTTCCGGATTTCCGGGTCTAACTTTACCCCCCTCAAAATTTCATCACGTCCGGATTTCCCTCCCCCAATGATTCAAGTACATTTTCTAAATACACATTTTTCTGTATATTCATTACAAAATTGCTTTGTTTTTTTCATTTTCTGGCTAGTTTTGTAAAAAACTATCATTTTTTGAGATAATCGAAAGTACGTCATATTATTGAAACTCATTCATTATCATTTTCGTTCTCAGTCAAATCGAAAGTCAATCTTAATACAAGCGGTTTCAGGTTTTCGGAATTGTTTATTTTCTTGACCCCCCCCTTCCAAAAATCCGAAATTTGACAGCTATCCCCCCCCAAAAAAAAAATGCGTGCGCACCTCTGTTTGAAATATTTTAAGAACACTAATGGGAAACAGGAAATTCGTCATATTTTCACCACCGTGGTGCACATGCATGCAATAAAATATATATATATTATTATTATTATTATTAAACCACCAAGGCGAAGGAACGCTGTTCGGTGCAGTTATTATTATTAAAAAAATGGTGTCTATGCAAATAAAATGCCAAACGAGTCAAAAGAAATGCCCGAGGAATTGACTCAGCATTGTGACAACACATTTGACCACACATTGTGAGAAGGGATTGGCGTACTTCTTGCAAATGAAGTGCTACCAATTCAATCAGGACGAATACAGATTATTCAATGCAGGCCACGCCACAAGAAAAATCCATTGTTATTCGGAAATTCATTGTTATTAAGATTCATGATTTTACCGTTGTACCGCTATGTGATAATAACCTCAAACACATCAGTTTCGATCAAGGATTTGTTAACACTATTGGCTCAACGGAAAATGATTCCAGAAAAATTCAGTGGCAAAGATGATTGAGATAATTGTGTATATAGCAAAATTATTTTGAAGAAAACCCATACTTGGAATATTTTATTCGACATGAAGAAAATCAATGAAATCAAAAGACCAAACCAGCAATTTCACCGTATGATTGTGTGCGATAGCGTTTCGGCTTCGGTACTATTTGAGTCACCAAAACGCGAGAAAACCGAATCCATTCGTGGATTAAACAAAAACGTGAAGCCGGTGATTACACGTATATCATCCCCGGCGTGAACACATACTATGCTGGATTTCATCGGAACATTGAAACTTTTGTCGAAGTGAGTTAATTATTTTTTTTTTTTATGAAATTTTAAATATGCAGGGTTTTTATTTTATATTTTTCCCTTGAGTAAATCCAATACTCAATACATAATCATTACATAATCTTAATCTAGATTCAATTTATTGATTGTTTGTATTTTGGCTGTAATAAGGGAAAACATCAAAATATCACCGAAGCGTTATCATTGGGGTGCCCGACAAGGTATTCGGGACAAAAAAGCGCATGATTGCAACAATCACGAAGATGGAACAGTCCGATTGCGAGAAAAACTAAGCCATCGCTGTTCACCATCCCGCGTCTCCGATTGCGAACTTGCCAGCCAATTCGCCAATCGATAAGGCAAAGACCAAATGATGTCCGGGAACATGAGGTCCTAAAAACAGCGTTAAAAACTACATCATTCAGATGTCCTAAGAGTGGACGAAGCTTACACATCGAAACACTATGCCAGTTGCATGGTTCCCGAAAGAAACGAAAAAATTCCGATTCAAAGCGTTCAAGAATTGTTCATGCAATGCTCTAATACCACCGTAGATTGCCAAATACATGTCGTTGCCGCCGCTAATTGTCTCAAAAAAGGGCTCACGACGTTA